GCCTTGATTTGTGGCCAATTTGGGTGCTTTGGCGAAGCCTGGCGAAGGGTCAAACGCGGGAGGAAAAGAAGCAGTCGCCAACCCGCTTCGGAATCAGGGTTTCGCGAGAGATGGTGTAGCGGGGTCAGGATTGCCAGCGAAAATAGCTGGCACAGATTTGGCGGTAATCGTCTTGACAGTGGCGGTTGGTGACTGTCGCAGGGGGCGGAAATATCCCACGTCGCGATGTCAGCGAACTTGTCGCTCATCTCTGCCAGCTCTTCTGGCGAAAAGTAGCGGGGGAGCTGCGGGGTCGCTCCTGACACGGGGTGGAATGGAGCGGTCCGATGTCTTCGAGCGCGGCGTGATCTCGTTGATTGCTGCCGGGTTGGATTCCCATCCGTGCGATCAGCATCCAACGGCCCTACCTGCCTCTCTGTTTCTACTGTGGGTAAATCGGCTGCACCAGGTCCTCTCCCCACCGTTCCTACCCTTGTTGCCTCTGCTCCATCTCCGTCTTCATTTTCACTTTCAGGCTCCACTTCCGCGATATAAGTGGGGTCAGTTCACTCCCCATCTTCATTAGCAGCTACTAGAGCTATTAAAGCCCTTCGTCCCGCAGCCTGATACCCATTTTCCGGCCCTCCGCCTGTTTCGCTACCCGCCTGTCTCCTCTCTCCCCGTGCTCCTCGACCCCGCGATGGTGATTGCTGGTCCTCCCGAGCCGTCGCCAGAGCGCGTTGCCGCCTGGTCGGCAATGGTCGCCAAGCCTCAGTCTGAGCCCGGAAAGGCGACCACGGTGACGAAGCCCCCAGTGCCTCCGGCTCCGAAGCCCTCGACAACATCCGCTGAAAGGCCTCTTCGCCTCGAACCCGCGGCTCCCCTTGTTGCGGCTGCTCTTGGTTCGTCCGCGACTGCTGCCGCTCAGTCTGCGGCCCCTGCTGCTGCTGAGCAGTCCGCCCCGGCTGCGCCGACTGCTCCCCAGGTTCCCCCTGAACCCCTGACAACGTCTGTTGCTGAACTCTCAGCTCCCGCTCGTGTTGGTCCACCTGCTGCCGGCCTCGAGCCGCTGGCTTCTGCGCCTGCCTCGTCCCCGCAGGCGGCGTCCGCCACCACTGGCGGCCCGACCCAGATTGTGTCGCCCACGGTGGGGGTTCAGCCCGCGCTCGTCGCTCCGCCGAACCCCCCGACTGGCCAGCCATCACGCACCCCGTCGCCAGACTCCGCTCCCCAGCAGGAGCGCGAATCGTCCCGGCGCCGGCGCAATTCCCCTCGGCGCTATCCTCAGCAAGGCCAGTGGCCTGCTCACCGCGGTGGTCGTGGTGGGTGGTGGGGTTCTCGGGGTCGTGGTGGTGGCGTGGCGTATGATCCGCCTGTAAGGATGGCGGATCTGCAGCGAATAGTGTCTGATGCGATGCGCGAGGAGAGGGCGGCACAGTCCCAGGGCAGTTCGATGCGAGCGGCGCCGACACATGGGGCACCGCATCAGGCCCCACTCCCCGTGAACCACCCGCAGGCCGCAGCACTCCCTGCTCCTCTTCCGCCTCCGGTGGCTCCTGCTCCCGCCGCCTCAGGTCCTGCTCCCGCATCCCGCCTTCAGCTGCCGCCTGTGCCGCCAGTGGCGGGGGTTGAGTTTGTGCCCGCGGGAGGAGGAGCGGCGACGGCTCACTACCCTCCTTCAGTTGCTGGCGGATCGGCCTCTCTTCCCGCTGTAGGGTCTCTTCCGTTTCTGGCGGAGGCGCTTCAACCCCCGCAGGTTCGAGTACCTGAGGCAGTTCTCGGCCAGCTGTTTCGTCTTGCTGAGAGCCTGCACGCCGTTCTGCTGATCCAAGTGCTGGCTCATTCATCCCTCCCTGCGATTCCCCCTGACACGTTTCAGGATCGGTCGCGTGACGTGTGTCTCGACGCGGTGGATCAGCTCGTGTAGCTGCTGGCGCCCGTGTTGGCTGCGCCCTCGGAGGGTGGCATTGCTGCTGCGGGTCCGCTTGACGATGCTGTCCGCGGCCTGCGGCGCCATTTGCGTGCAGGTTCTGGAGCCGCCGCGATCGGCGCAAGCACGCTTGTGGTCCGGGAGCTTTGGCGGACTCTGACGGGCGTTCTTCACGCCCTTGGAGCTCATCGCATGTAGACGCGGGCTCCTCTAGCTCCATCTCTCTCTCAATCAGTCCTTCATTGATTATAACCAAGGTACAGCAAGGCAAATATAGATAATCTTGCCTAGTAAGCAACCTAGCACAGGGGCAGTCATGCATATAACCAACATCCATGTCAGGCCGCCAATCCATGTGGGCTATCAAGGCTGCCTAGCTCGCCCGACCACACGAGGCTACTCCCTCGGGGTCCCTCTGGCCTCCTTCCCCGGCCCCTCACCCGTCCAGGGCCGGCCCCCAGTCCAGGTCGTCCTCCAGGACCTGCCAGAGATCCCCAAGGCGTGGCTCCCATGGGTCTGCCGGCGCCTGCGGGAAGGCTCTCTCTGTCGCCCTGTTAGACTTAGCTAGCAGGGTGTTGGCCTGGCTCCGCTGCAGCATTACCGAGAATCGCTGCTGGTAGTGTGCAGTGAGTTTGGAGGCCACGGTAGTGAGCCTCCCCTGCCTGTACTTGTGCTTGGCTGCCGATGTGCCGAGCATCCGTAGGAACCGTTGGGTGTCCCGGGCCAGGGCCCCATAGGTTTCCACCGCTAGTCCTAGCACCCCCACAAACTCTGGCCGCCCCTCGTACAGGCCCCTTTTCCCCCTCGCCGCATCCTCTGCCGCCCACCCTGGTGGCTTCACCCCCCGTATGTCCCGCCGCTGCAGCACCGGATCCGTCACCGTTACATCCGTGACAAAGGTTTCCGCTGACTCCTTGTCTTTGATGACCAGGTCCACTCGCTTGGGGTTAACAATTTGCGAGAAGGCCGTGGTTTCATGCGCAGTCATGTAGTCAGCTTCGTTGGCCATCCGTAGTGCCGCGTACACCAGGTTGTTGTGCGTGTTCGTCCTGTCCTTCCCCTCCGCGCATCTCAGCAGGTGGTTGGGGAGGCTTCTGTCGTCTATGTTGGACCGTCGCTTCCCACACGGGCACTTGTCAGTCACTGGTAGGGTTAGGCCGAGTCTGAACCCCAGGGCCATTGCAAACTGCCCTGGGGAGAACGTGAGGTCGGCCCGCGTGGGGATGGCGTGGAGCCAGTCCCCCGCGCCCACCCCCTGCAGGCTGATAAGGCGGACCACGTGCCCGTTATCCACCCCCGGCTTGTCCACCCGTGTGTCCCCCACCAGCTCCGCGGCTCTTTCCATATTTACCAGCCTGGATAGCTGCTCCTGCAGTCGCCCCCTTCCTTCTCCCCCCCGTTCTGATTCCCGAAGCAGTTCCCGGGCCGCCTCAGGGAGTCTGTTCCGCAGATCCCTGATGGATGTCCCTGTTTCTCCCGCGCCCCCGTCGCCGTGTGGCGACACCAGTGCCGCTGCTCTCTGTAGGGGGTTGCTGGGTCCTGCCGCCACGTGTTGTAGCAGGGTCTGCGCCGCCTGTAGAGACGCCAGGTATGCCGCCGGCGCCTCTGATAGCGGGTCTATGAGTCCCAGGCCCCCTAGCGCCACCGGCAGGGTCGCCTGTCTCCACACCAGGCTCTGCTCCAGCTCCTTGCTTGGCGTGTGGAGGTGGGCGGCTTTCAGCGCTGTCCACAGGAGTCTCTCGCTCCATTCCCGCCATTCCCTCCGCGGGAGCACGTCTGCCGGTGTTGTTCGCAGGAGGTACGAGATCCTGCGCGAGATGCACCGTGAGAGGAGTAGTAGTGCGTGTTGTGGGTGCAGCTTCCCGATGAGCCCCAAGGGCGCCGTCGTAGCCTCAAGGGTTCCCCTGATGGTCCGCTGGCAGAACTGTGTGGTGCCGATTGGGCTCCCCAGCACCTTTACCCCGTCCACTGCCGTTGCCAAGCCGTCTGGCAACAGCCCTGTAATTCCCGACGGGCTCCAGGCCGACGATTTTGTTAAGTTGCACCGTAGGCCGCAGGTGCTCAGGTCGTCCCTAATCTTGTTCAATGCTCTCGCTGCATTCACCGGATCTCCCACGATCGTGATGTCGTCCGCGTAAGCCATCACCGTAATTGTCGGGTCTGCCTCTGCCGCCGCTAAAAGCACTGGTTGTATCGCCGCCGCAAACAACATTGGCCCTAGGGGGTCTCCCTGCCGTACGCCTCGCGCGCTGATGATGTGCGGCGCCTCAAAACCGCTATCCAGTAGGAGCTTCGAGGGGGATCCGTAGAGTTTGCGTGCCAGCGGCATAAGTGGGGCCAGCCCCGTCCATCGTAGCGTTGAGAGGAAGCTCCCGCGTTCTACCGAATTGAACGCGTTCTCGATGTCGAGCTGTAGGATCACCCGCGTCGACTCCTCCTCCACTAGTGCTCGGGTAGCGTGGATGATGCACTCCGCACCCCCTGGCACCGTCACTCCAAATTGCACGGGAAGGAAGTATTCGCGGATTTCCCCCGCCAACTCCTTTAGCGCTGCCTTGCCTGCTACTCTGAGTAGCGCCTCCCCTATCGCGATTGGTCGCACACCTCCGTCCGGCTTTTCTAAGGCGATTAACCGGGACGGCAGCAGCAGCTCCTGTACTGCCTCGTTCTGGTAGGTACTTAGCAGCCGGTTAATCAGTTTGTGGAGCAGGGCGAAGACCTCCCAATTGGTTAGGGCGGGATCTCGCAAGTGTTCGAAGCAAGTCCCTGATGGCCCTGCTCCCACCCATTTGGGCACTTCGCCAACACTTCACGAAAGGACTCTGCGCTGATCGAGAGCTCGGATGTCACGTAACCCGTGATACCTTCCGGTGTCGCCAATTCCTGGGCCGGGTGTTTCGAGGTGAGAGCCCCCAATGTCTGTTGCGAGGTCTCTGCCAGAGGCAAGCTGTGTAACGCCGCTGTTGCCTTCACCAAGTTGGCTTTCCGTACCAGCCCTTCAGGCGGGCTTCGACCGCCTGCCACCTGTTTCCCGGGGCTGTGTCCAAGCCTACTCGTAATGTGAGCCTGGGGAGATATTGCAGAATTCGCCATGCACCGAGGCAGTTCGGGTGCTTCGAGAGTCGCAGGAGAGGTACAGTCAGGGAGTGACTGTACACTTTTAAAATATCTGGCGGTAATTTCCTGACGAGGAATGGCTGTGCGCTGGCACGCAATGGTCCGAGATCCCAATCCAGCACCTTGCGCCACGCGTCCTCATCCTCTGCTATCTTCAGGGGCGCCCTCTCTTTGCTGGCAGCCTCGTCAGCTCTCGGGGCCTCTGGTTCCCCCCCTTGTGCGGGTTCCCTTCTATCCTGCCGCCCCTGTCTGCCTCCACGTCGTCTCCCTCCCTCCCCATTTGCGGGGATTCCCTCCTCATCGTCCACCGAGATGTCTTCCGACTCATCTTCCGTTTCCTCTCAATATTCAGACCCCTCTACCCCCGCAGACTCATTCATTGGTTCCATACTGCTTTCGTCAGGCCTCCCGTGCCTTTCCCGCCAATTTCCGGATCTGGCTTTCTCTCTCACTACGGCCCTCACCAACTCTCCCACACGCCCACCTCTGCCTCGCCCTCGTCCGCGGCCTCCCCCGGCCGCCCTTGCCGCCGTGTTTCGCGGGTGAATTCCCGCCGCTATCTCGTCCGCCATTTCCTGGAGGGCCCTCTGGCGGCTCGTTCCTGCGCGCCGTCTCCGGTCCGCGGCCTGTGCCGCCAACAACGCTTCCTCCTGCTGGGCTGCCTCGTCGGCCTGTTCTTCCGTCCGTTGCTCCGCCCCCGGCTCCTCCCGTTCGGCCTGCCGCCGCGGTGATGGCGGGCAAGCGCCCAAGGCGGGAGAAGGCGTCGCGACCATCTGCTGCTCCCAACCCGCCAGAGAACCAGGGCGAGCTGGCGCCAGCCCTACTCCGAGCCGTCGCTGCCCTGGTCTCGCGCGAGGGCGGCGGGACTCCCTCCCGGGTGCGCGAGCCTGTGTATCGCTCGCCGCGTGGACGCACCCACCCACATCTGCGCGCCCGCGGTGGTTCCTTTCGGCGCCGCCGTCCGCCCCACCCTCCGCCCGTTCTTCAGAGGCAAATTGTCGGTCCGCATCTGCGGGCTCCCTCTCTTCCCGTCTTTCCTCCTCCTCCTCTTCCGTCTCCTCCCGCGCCGTCGCAGCAGGACTCGCAGCAGCTATCCTCCCCGCAGCAGTCGACGGTTCCCGCCACTTCGTCCCCTCCTACGGCCCCTCCCGTTGTCCCTCCTCCTGGTGCCGAGCCTCACCCGTCAGTGGCGCCCGCGGAGGTACCTCTCGTGCCTCCTCACTCCGCTCACAGGCTTGACGACGGTCCTCCCCCCTCTGAGCCTCCTCGGCGGCAGCATCCCCTCGTCCCCGCCGATCCCGCTCGACCCCCCCGCTTTCCTCCGCCCCGTGCCTCATCTCCTCCACTTCCGCCTGACGCCCCTGATCCTGAAGACGACGTGAAGTGGTGGAACGTGGAGCTGTGGGAGTCTCCCCCTCCGCCTGGGATGACCTGGGGTCGTGACTGGGATGCGCGGAATGACTTTGTTGTTGACATTCTCCGCTGGGAGCGGCGTATGGCGGGGGTGGGAGAGTGCCTTTCCCACGTGGCGACTGTGTTGGAGCAGCTGCATGAAGGCCTTCAGGGGCGCAATTATGTCCTGCGGGATCCCCAGCTGAACGAGCATCAGCAGGGCGTTGTCCGTGAGGCTGCCTCTCAGGGCCTGTGGAGGCTCCTCCGCTTGCCCCTCGAGCCCGAGCACCCTGACGAGGACGAGGGGCCGGGCGCGAGAGCCTTCCGCAGGGTCGCCACAGCTGCCGAAGAGTCACCCCTGCAGCTCGTGCCTGCGCTCGCGTCCTTGCTCCGGTGGATCCGCCTGCGCTTCTACGTGTTGAACCGCGTGTAGGGGCCAGCCCTTGCCGGGCTTTGCTGGTCGCCTTTTTGCCTCCCATCCTCTTCCTTATTCTACTTACCTCGCCCTCTAGCGGTGGGCCTTGCTACTGTGCCATGTTGTTGCTCTATTAGTGGTGTTTCGTCTGTGCCTTGCCGTCCCTTCACGCCGGATTTGCAGTGAAAGTGAGCCCACTACCAAACAATCAGGATAGGAAGGGGCTTCCTTCCTCTATATACTAGGGAGTAGGGCTAAAAACAGCCTATAACAGTGCTCCACTAAGAGACTAGGCTACACTAAGAGACTATGCGTGTGTATTGAAGGACTAAGGAATAAATGGCTCTCTCTCTCTCTCTCTCTCTCTCTCTCTCTCTCTCTCTCTCTCTCTCTCTCTCTCTCTCTCTCTCTCTCTCTCTCTCTCTCTCTCTCTCTCTCTCTCTCTCTCTCTCTCTCTAATGGTCCGTGTATTGATATAGCGAAAATTTACAAACATGCAAGTATGGAAACATGTCTAGGGATAAACAAGCAACAACCACCCAACTACCTACACCAAAATGCCTCTCTACACCTCCAATAGAGGTTCCAACACCACACAGCTATCTCCTAGGTGGAGCTCGGCCTGCACCCCCCCCATGGGAGGGTTTTCAACTACCACCGCCTGGAAGGACTTCATAAGGTATCCCACGGATTGCGCACGTTGGAGAGCCACCGACCACCACTGCCTGAAGAGGTGGAGGAACCGAGCTGCATGGTGGGAGGTTGGTAGGGCGTTAAAGTGACGCCTAGCAGCTGTTTCCGCCAACAATTTCAGAAACGTGTGGACCTCGGCACAAGGGCAGCCGTAGGTCTCGACGGCCAGAGGGATGAAGGTGACTGTGTCGGGCAAGGTCGCATAGTGGCTGATTTTCTTGTCGGCCTGCTCCCTTGCTGCCCATCCCCTGCCCTTGGTGGCGTTGGGATCCCGCGTGCTTATGGGGTCAGTGATTGTCACGTCGCACACGTACACTGCTCCCGAGCTCCTGTCTCGCATGGTGAAGTCCGCGGTCTTCTCTTCTATGGGGCAGTAGGCGGAAGACTCTCTGTGCACTATGAAGCCAGCATCTTGGGCCATCGTTATACAAGCATCCCGCAGCTCATTGTGGGTATTAATCCTGTGTTTGCCCAAGCCACAGCGGAATAGGTGGTTGGGCAGCCGCGGGTCCTTGATTTCTACGCGCTTGGAGCAGTCACACCTGGCAGGTGTGGAGAAGGGCAGCCCCAGCCGGAATCTTATTGCATTGGAGAAGTGTACGGGGCTGATGCGGCGGGTCGGTTCCAATGGGATGGCCGTTAACCAGTCTCCAGTGCCATACCCGGTCAGAGAGAAGAGCCGTTGGGTATGACCAGAGAGTGGGTTCAGTGTCATGTGCCGAGTGGCCTGCACCTGTGTGGCATATCTCCCTCCCTGCACTCTGACCCCCAGCTCATGCTGCAGCTTCAGTCCGGTCGGCTCCAGTCGCTCCTTGTCCAGCACTTCCCTGGCCTCAAGCGGTAGTGCTGCTTCGCAGGCGGTCAGCCATTCGTGTAGGGGTGTCCCAGTGTCTCTGGGTAGTAGCATGTGGTCCCGTACTTCTGTCAGGGCTATACCTGGTTCCAGTGGCGGGTGGCTAAGGAGGAGTGCTGCCTGTGTGAAACTGGCCAGGAAGCCAAACTTCCCTTCTACTGTAGGGTCCGTGAGTCCTATCCCACCTAGGGAGGGCGGTAGTGAAGCCTGCTCCCAGATCCTTTTCTGTTCCACACTGTCCGTTGGAAATCGTATGCCGCATGCTGTCAGAAGGGTAGCTAGAAGGTCTCTACCCCATTGTGACCATATGTCGCGTTCTAGAAGGTGTAGTGGGGTCGTTCGTGTGAGGTAGGCAACGCGGCGTGAGATGCATCGTGTGAGCATGAGGGCTGCTACCTGCGGGTCCGTTCGTTCTAAGAGAGGTAGCGGTTTGGACATCGACTGCAGCTGCGCGGAGAGGAAGGCGGCGGCTCCGTTCGGTGTTCCTAGGAAGCTGCCTAAGAGCACCACGCCCTCGTCTTTGATTGGTACCCCTGGCGGCAGCCGTATCTCAGGGTCTATCGGCTGATTGCTCCATGCGGCGCACTTAGAAGGGTTGTGCTGCAATCCTATTCCGTCTAGTTGCTCGGTGAAGTGTGTAAAAGCTGCTATAGTATCGCGCGGGTCGCCTAAGAAACTCACGTCGTCAGCGTATGCCAGGCACAGTACGCCGGGGTATGCGGATGCTGTTGCTCTAAGGGCAGGGTGTATCCCAGCCGCAAACAGGAGCAGGCCTAAGGGATCTCCTTGCCGTACCCCACGTTCACTTGTCAGCGGCTGGCTGTTAAACGCGGCGTCTAGGAATAGTGAAGATGGTTGGCCGTAGGTCAGTTTGACCAGTGGCAGTAGTGGGGAGAGGGATGGGTCTTGTAGTGCTGTTATGATTGCTTGTCGGCTGATGCTGTTGAAAGCGTTGGAGATGTCGGTTTGAAGGAAAAGGCAGTCGGGATGTTTGTCGGTGTATGTTCGGGAACTGTGAATGATTGCTTCTGCACCACCTGGCACTGCAACTCCGTACTGTAGAGGCAGAAAGTAACTTCGTGCCGCCTCGCCCAGTGCTGACAGGGCCACTTTTGCTGCCAAGCGTGTTAGGCATTCTCCAACCGCAATCGGGCGGGCCCCACCGTCCGGTTTTGCCAAGGCAATCAGGCGCGAAGATGTGAGCAGTTGCGCCACGGGCGGTGGCAGGTTTCCCCGCAGGATTGTGTTTATCAAGGCGTGGAGATGGGTAGTGACGGATGCATTTGTCACTGACGCGTCGCGTAAGTGTTCGAATGTCATTCCGCTCGGACCGGCTCCCATGCCATTCTCGCATCGGGTGAGCAGTTTCGAGAAGTCCGCGAACGGAATTTCAAGACTGGCTGGTTCGGAGATGGCTGGCCAGGTCAACGGGTCAGGTTCGGCCGGTGGGTGTTTGCGTCTGAGTTCGTCAAGGACCTCGGGGCTTGGCGTGCAGACTGGGGTTGACTCGAGCGCATCACCGCTCTGCGTAAGCTTCCCTTTTTCGCCAGCCCTTCTGCCCTGCTGATTACACCGAGGTCATCAGGCTGATGACGTGGCGGGGGTGGTGTGTTGACTGCCTCCGCTGCGTCCAGGTACAGCTGCTGCCACTCGCCGCGTTGAAATGCTCGGAGTCGTGATTTGATTTTCGACCAATCCGGTCGCCTCGGCGAAGCCTGACGCAGCGTGAGGCGTGGGAGAAATAACAGTAACCGCCAACCTGCGACAGAGTCGGGGCTTCGCGAGAGGTGCAGTAGGGGTGTCAGCACTGCAAGCGAGAAAATCTCGCACAAATTTGGCGGTAGCCTGCGTAACAGTGGCGGTTGGCGACTGTCGCAGAGTGGTGAAATGTCCCAACTCGCCACTTCTGCGAACTTATCTGCTTGCATTGCCAGCTCCTCTGGCGAGTAATAGCGCGGATTTTGAGGCTGACGAGCCGCATTTGCCTGGCCTCTCGCGGTCCGATTCGCTCGTCCGCGCCTCGGGGTCGGGGTTGGGTTAATGGCCGTCCAATCAACATCCTGCGGCCCCTGTCTATTCTCCCGCTGCCCTGCCGCTCCTCTCGAGTTCACCCCACTTCGTCTCTGTGTCTGCTCTCTCGTCTCCTCTACACCTTCTTCCTCACTGCTGCTGCTTGAACCTCCCTCCTCTACTACATAATTCGGGTCGTCGAGCTCCTCATTATTATGTAGTGAGATTAAAGCCCGCCGTCCTGCTCCTTGTCGCCTACCGACTCGCGATGGTGATTGCTGGGGAGCCGTGGCCATCGCCAACGCGCGCTGCCGCTGTGTCAACGGTGAGCGAAAAGTCCCCACCTGCGTCTGCCTCGGGGATTGTTGCACCGAAGCCGCCACTCCCGCCTGCCTCGAAGCCTGCGCCCTCTGCCGCTGAAGCCTCTCCGCCTGTGGACCCACTCCCCATGGCGAGCGCGGCTCTCCTGTCTTTACTGCCTGCTCCGTCACCCCCAGTTGCCGGGTCGGACCCTCCGCCTCCCGTGGGCTCTCCTGCACCTGCTGCTCCTGCTGTTCCGTCCGCCGTCCCCGCGAACGTTGTGGCACCGCATGCTGTGGCTGCCCCTGCTGTTGCCCCGCCCGTCCCTGGTGTTCCTGTAGCAGCACCCGCCGTTGTTGACCCTGCTGTGCCTGCTGCGGCCGTTGCTTCGTCGCCGATGGCGGTGTCCGCCACCACTGGCGGCCAGGCCCCGGTTGTGGCGCAGGCGGTGCCGGCTCCAGCGGCACATCTCGTTGCGCCTGTGGGGCAGCCGCGGGGCCAGCCGTCGCCTGGCCGTCGCTCCTCGCGTCCCCACTCTCCTGCTCCCCGTGACGAGCGGGAGTCGTCGCACCGGCGTCGCGACTCTCCCCGTCGTAGCCGCCCGCCGTCAAACTGGCAGTGCGGCGGTCGAGGCGGTTGGGGGGGGGAGTCGCGGTTATGGCGGTGGCCCAGCGTATGTTCCTCCTCCTGTGTCTCTTGCTGACGTTCAGCGCGTCGTCTCAGCGGCGATTCGCGAGGAGAGGGCCGCGCAGCGTCTAGCGACGGCTCCTCCAGCTCCCTCTCCCGTCTCTGTTCCTGTGGCAGCGTCTCCTCCTCCTGTAGCTGCGGCGCCTCCACCTCTCGCCCCCCATGCTCCTGATGCGGTTCATGGGCATCACGTGATCATGCGGTTCCTCCTGCCGCGCCTCCTCCCCATTCTGCGTCTGGTGACACGCTGGCATTCCCGGCGTTGGGGGGGTCTCCTCGCATGGCTGAGGTTCCCGAGGCGTCTCTTGGCCAGCTGTGGCGCCTCGCGGAGGGCTTGCGGGCCGTGCACCTGATCCAGGCGCGTGGTCATGCCGCTCTCTCTCTTGGCGGCTCTCTGGACGGTCGCCAGAGGGACGAACTGCTTGATGCTGCCGATCGCCTTGCAGAGCTGCTGGCGCCCGTGTTGGCTGAGCCC